AATTGGAAACACTGGTTATATTACCAAGGCTTTGACTGGAATGTCATATTTGAAAATGATGTTCACAGAATCAGATATGATCAGTTTTAAGGAACTAAGGTTGACTTTAAGGAGCCAGTGCTTACAAAGCCCTCCTGGAAAACTGGCCTGGTACCTGGCTTACAGGGCTCCTAGCCTTATAGGTGAGTAAAGAAGGTTACTTCCTGGCAGGCCCAGGAAGCTTAGGATATTTTGGGGACCTCGAGAAGGAATTCATCCAAATCTGCAGGTACCACAAGTGAACTCTGATGGCAAGTTCCTGGCTTGGCTTCCTAGCCTCAAGGCTTTTAAAAGTCCAATCTGAGATTCCTAATAAAAGTTCCCGCAAAACAAACTTAAAAAGACCTATGTTGTCAATCACTATTCTTGCTGCACTTACATAAACAATCAGGCCAAGTTTGACGAGACTAGATTTGTTTGGCAAACAAAAATAGTCTTACCTTGATTATCTTTGATAAAAATGGGAGGGATTATAAGAGATAAATCCTATGTTCCAATGGAAAAGTATAACCCACCCTTGTGGATTATCAGATTCTAGTCCTGTTCATTCCCTTTGAGCTATTTTCACCCCTTTGTAAGCTGGATCCTGCCAACTTGTGCATTTTGTCAGTAATTAACATTTCCGGTTTTCTCCCACCCTTCTGACTTGGCATCACTAAGAACTAAGCTGTTCTTTTCCTGAAGCCCTGCAAGCTGAAGCGGGACAACTTGACATAACGTTCAAGCATTTATCACAATGGTGTGGGCCATTCAGGCAGCTCACCAGAACACGGTCCTTTGAGCTCTGGGAACTAACCATGATGGTGAGACTGCCACTACGATCCTTACTCCACCATCTACAGATGCTTCGAGACCAATGTCTAGAAATCCTTTGGACTGACTGCCCTCTGGACTCAAAAACTGAGTTTATAATCTGTTCTAGCTATTAATTTTTGTTTTTCCATAAATCTATGTCTTTTTCCCTTTGCAGATCTCTTACCTCCCAACTTCTAACCCAGATCTTCTCTCCACAGCCTCCAAGTCAGCTTCTGCTCTGCGAAACTTCTAGGGAAGTTTTAGACAGAGGAAAGGGGTCCAGAATACACCACTGTGGCATAAAAATTATTTTGAGCTGAAGGCATTTGAGAATCAACAGATGCAGGTAGAGCCTTTTTTTCTGAACTCCCTTTGTCTTCCTAAAAGCAGAACTTCCCCAAAGAACTCAACTGCCATAAATCCTCTCCCCTGGGAGTTTTGGTACCAAAACAGACATCATCACAAAACTATCATATCTCCCATCTGTTCTTCTAAGGGCCCATTTATTTTTCCTAAAAGTCATTTGTTTTCCCATCAGTGCCCTTACTCCCTCTTCCCTTATTAAGATGGGATATAAGCCCCAAATTCTGCCTCCTTGAGTCACATTTTTCTCTGAACGCCTGTGTACATATGTGAATAAAAATCTGCCTTTTCCCTTGCTAATCTGTCTTTGGTCAGTTTAATTCACAGGTCTCAAGTACTGAATCTAAGAGGGTAGAGGAGAGGTTTTTCCTTCCCAACAGGAGAAATTGTTAAGTCCAGTGGCATGCTCACATAAACCTCAGCAGTACTGGCAACTTCTCATCTAGCAACTATAGTTAGTCATTAAAAAATTTTTTTTTCTTATTCTTAAAAGAAGTGCAACAATTTAAAAAACAGCATTGAAGTTTTCCAGTCAGGAGGGTCATGAGTGTTCTTTTTTTTCATTTTACAACCCCTTCCACAAAGGGGTTTAACTACTTCTGGCCCAATTTTAGTCATTATTTCCAAATGTTTACAGCATAGTGAATAAACTGTAATTTTAGACATTGAAAAACAAGACAAAGTGGTCAAACTAATTATATTGATGCAAAATGTAAGACAGAGGTAGACCTGCAAATTGCCGCAGAGTTGCAAATTCCAATTATGACTGGTTCTCTTTGAAACATCAATTTTACATAAATGCTTATCCAGTAGCACATCATAAACTACAGGGTTAAAAGAATTTCTTCTGTCATGTAAATGTGTAATTGAGGCCTAAAACCGTCAAACTTAGCAACAAAGGATTTTTTCCAAGAGCAAAGTACTATGGAACCCATAGGACTCATAAGAAAACCTGAAACTAAATTATTAGACACTTTAAGGGCATTGGCTAAATTCTGAAGATGTTGGCATTAAAATAGAACTTAGTTTTTTCAGGCATTTAAAGATTTTCATGCATAGTGTACCTGAAATTTTTGATCTCTTGATTTTCTTTGACTCACACGTCTTCTCCTTAATGTAAGAAAAACCCTCTTAGTGTAAGGAAAGCTCAGATTAACAGTCCTGGAAAATTTGCACTAAGGTTCAACCATAATGTTTGATCTAATTCTAATTCTGCTGAACCAAATACCACTCACTATTTGGCGTTCTCATTCGTAGATTATTCAAAAACAAATGTTTCTCCTGTTAATCATCAATTTATATGACAGCAAAGGAGAAAAGAGATCACGTCAGGTGGTGGCAATGTTTCGTGAAAGCACCCAGGTGGGGAGGGGCAGGTAGAGCAGCCAGATTAACAGCCACCTTTCACTTAGTTTTTCCTTAAAAAAAAAAAAGTCGAACTTCTTTCAATTTTCTGGAGTGAAAATGGCAGCACAGGAAGGATATTAAAATGTGTGAGCTGAGACCCCTAATAACAGCTGAACTGGTCTGGGTAAGAGGTAATTTCTGAAAAGAAAACTGGCTGTTAATAGAAAGGCAAAACGCACTCTGCGTTGTCAAAATCCAGCCAATGTTCATTACAGCTTATATACCATCTTTGTAAATGAGAAGTTTTGGGCAATTCAAGTAAAATACTTGATGTCTAAGACAAAAAAAAAAATAAATAAAAAAATAAAATGTGTGAGCAAACTGCTTCTTTCACATCCTCATAAAGTATTGTTTTCTAAAATATAATTTGCTGCAGGGCTCATAGATCAGCACCTTTCACATCAGGTGATATGCAAAAATCCATTATTTGCTCAGCAGGAAACAGTCTTTTTGTACACTCTAGCTAACAGGAAGTCTTTCAAGAAAATAAAGGGAAGGGCGGGGGGTCGTAATCCAACCTTGTAACGCCCACCCAGAAACCTAGAAGGAAAAAAATAAAGCCACTGAAACAAAGATGATTTGGCAATCTCCTGAAGATCAGCAGTCTTTCCATAAGACTATATGACACAGATACAGTCTTGAGTGCGCTAATACTTGGGTTTCGAAAAACAGAGCCACGAACTCACCTGGAAAATTAAAGAGCTGGATTTAGTCTCTGCTTTCTGCCCAACACCCCTGAAATGTTTTTTGTTGCACTTTCATGCTGTTTTCACAACAGAAACAAGGGTCTCTGAAGAATTGGCCACAGTGTTACAAGTCACCCAGGGGTGCGATGCTTCTCCAGTGAGGTGCTGGACAACTTGATTCAGCAAGTGACGATGGTGGCGGCATGGCGCCTGAATTGCTCATTCAACACACTGCGCTAAAGGGCCTCAGGGTGAGGGTGTGCTCTCTCTACCCTAATCTCACTTTGATCTTGCAGAGCCTGTCTCACCACGTTTAGCAGCATCGTCACGAAGGATGTGCCTTTGTTTCTATACAAGGATTCTTTACACAGAAGTGTGTATTGAGTGAGAAGTACAGAAAGACAATGGGGTGAAATGGGCTCATTAAACAATGTAAGACGGCTGATGGCTTAGGTAGCTGCACGTGAAATGTAGCCAGAAGTCAGAATTTTGTGGCAAAAGAAAGAACAGTCTTACGGCCTGTGTTTTAGAACTGTTTAATTTTATACTTTCCTAAGGCACAACCAAAGCTTTTTGAGATTTATGTTTTGGCAAGTGTTTCTCTTGCTGGAGGATCACGCAAGTAGGTGGAAGTATCTGTCTAATGGCATGTTGGCACATTAAGGTAAAGTAAATAGTCCTTGGACTAAAACTAAAGTCAGGAGGTGAAGAAAAACAAGGGAATTTGTCTTGGTTGTAAATTTGTACCAAGGCTACGTACTGAATACTGGAAAAATGACAGAAGTGTTTTATACCTTTGCATAAGAAAAAAAATGACGTTCCTTTTGAAGCTGTAGCTCAGGATTTAATCTGGGGTAATGCCACCGTGTGATAGAAACAATCTGGATTTTATAATAATGTATTGTAGCAGGAATATGTATAAAGCAGGAAAAGCTGTAAACTGCAAAGTGCTACAGAGCTCCAGATACAGTGATATATGAGCAAAGGGGTCAAATGAGGTGTTCACTCCAGGCAGGTGTTTTGTTTGTGAAAAGCGATTCAGTGTGTTATACATTCAAATCCAAATTAGAACTAGCTGCCTTACAATGAGATTTTACTGCCATTTCTTGGCACTTTAATTTTGGGGAGCTCTGTTACAAGTTCAAGTAAGTTAGAGCTGTTCTCAATCCTTGTATCTATTTCCTTCAAAAAATGAAGGAGCAGGTATTCTAATAAGCTTTATGCAAATAGGATCCTGATCATTTTAGCTCTGGTTAACCCAACACATTTCCCTGGGCATAACCATGGCCTCTCTGAAAACTGGGGAATATTGCATAATTTAAAAAGTCAGTTAAAAAGAGTACGACACTCACTGGTAACTTCAAATAAATTATGCTAGGAGGATGGAATATGGGTAGGCTAGACCACCAATCAAGTTTGCCTAGCCATAAAAACAGTGACAACTTAAAGATCTGCAAAGATCAAAGGAAACAGAGCAACTTTAACTGGCTGGAGGTACAACATTCTACAGGAGCCCTCCTGGGCCTTCAGAAAGGTTACAAGATGACCCACCCACTCTGATTGGCTGTGGCCACACACAGACATCCCGGAGCCCACCACAAATCTGGGATGTGACAAGTATAGAACCAAGTGGCAAGTCTGAGCTTGCTTATGACACTCCAACTACACAGAGGCAGACAGTGAGGAACTACCAGAATCCCAGAGAGCTCCTTTTTACCTTGGAAAACCATCCAAGAGGTTACTATGACAAAAACATAAATCAAGGTTGACACAGCCAAGTGCTGGCTCACAGCTGGCCATTTGTATGGGGTTTGCCAGTCCTTAGCTATTTTCATTATTTAATCAAATGTTAAGAAAAGTATAATTCACGTGCAACCCTTGTCAAAAAAGAGAAAAAGCTCAATTTCCTATGATCAGCACAAACTGTTCAACTATTAAGAAAAGCCCAATTTTTCCAGAACTCAAGTATATACACACACATCATGTCTGTTTCATTTTAAACATCTTTGGTGAGGGGGAGAGGGAGGAGGACAAATGAGATAAAGACATGAGCTAAACATCCAACAAGCCCATTCCTCATTCTGTGTGTGGCTGGCAGCATTAGTCAGAAAGTCACTCCTTTGCTGTGATGGTCATGATATATCTGAATGTGTAGATCTTTAAGGATTTCCTTATTCATTCGGCCAGGCCTATGGTAGGTGCTTTTTTGTTTTCTTGGTGGAATAATTCATCAGTGCTTCCTGAGAGGCTCAAACAAGATCACTGGCCAGATTCCGAAGAGAAACTGTTTGGAAACAAGTTAGGACAAAATGAAAGAAGGTAAAATTGTTCCATGTTATCCCTGAAAAAGAATCTATGGGCTATGACTACAGTGCTCGGTAGGTTTGCTAGCGACTGTCCTGGTGTTAGTAGCTTGAGCACAGCATATTCTTTCCAGACTTGCACCAGATCTCAGAAACTATTTTTATTTAATTTATTTAAATGTATTAAGCATCTACTTTGTCAAGCATGGAGCTGGGCATTTAAATCATTGCAGATCCTTAAAACAACTCTGCAATGTAGCTATTAACAGCTCCATTGTATTGCTGAAGAAACTAAGACTTAAAGAGAAGTGATTTGCCTAAGGTCACAGAGCAGTAAGCGGAAGACTTAAGATTCAAGAGCATGTAGTTCCAAAGCCAGTACTCTCTCCACTACCTTCTTGCACCTTCATTCCATCCTCTCAACTCCCCCTCCTCCCATCACACACCCACCCCTCCCCAGGATGTGGACTTACCTTCACTTTTGGCCTGTATCTCAGATAAAGTGTTCTTGTATATAAACTAAAAGGAAAGGGGAGAGGGAGAAAGCTCTTTAGACTAATTTTTAATCCATGCAAACTGGCTTACTGACAAATTTTACCATAGTGCCTCTGTATATACAATGAAAAAGCAACATTGGTATAGCCTTTGTTCATTTAGCAACCATTTTTTTCAGCACCTACTCTGTGCAGAACACTTGTCAAGAAGCTAAGGAAGGGGCTGGCCCCGTGGCTTAGCGGTTAAATGCGCGCTCCGCTGCTGGCGGACCGGGTTCGGATCCTGGACGCGCACCAATGCACCACTTCTCCAGCCATGCTGAGGCCGCGTCCTACATACAGCAACTAGAAGGATGTGCAGCTATGACATATGATGGTGCTCAGGGCAAGCTGCCCCAGGAAGCACCACTCTGGTATGCGGATTATTTCGAGCTGAAGACAATAAGGACTCAGAGAGCTCAGGAAAAATATTTGAGTTTCCCCTCCCAAACTGCCTAAAGAATTTAAAACAGAAAATCTGTTTTAGGAAGGAGTTATTATCATGACTGCTATAAAAGATAATTTAGGATAGAGGTTACAATAGAAAAGGCACCAACAAGCCCATCTTATCGGGAGTTCTGTCTCTCTGGCCACATTCTTTGGATGGCCCTGCGAGGAGTTGTCAGACAATCATTTACAAGGGAAGTCTCCATTTGTAAAGGTATCTCCCTCTCTGTATTGGGAAAAGGGGGGGGTGAGCTCATTTCTAGTAACTTATCAATGTGGAAGGTGAGGCCTTGGGGCTGTATAACAAACCTTACTCTTGTTTACTGTGCTTTAGTGGTAATCTCCTGTAACTGACTCCCCCCACCCCCAAAATCCTCCTTTGTCATTGGCTGAAAATGATATTTAAGACGAGAATTTCTGCTATTGTGTTGAAAAATGCAGTGTCCCTGCTTTCTCCCATGTATACATGTTATTAAACTTGGTATTATTTTCTCCTGCTAACCTGTCTCGTTGATTATTTGGCCAGCCAGAAGAACCTTAAGGGAAAGGGCAGAGGGAGATTCTCCCTCTTCCCCCAACACATACAACTATCTACTGGGGCTTTGGGGGAAAAAATAAATAAATAAAATTATTAAAAAAAAAAAAAAAGAAGCTAAGGAAGACAGAGAAATGATCAACTCTCAGGCTGTGACCTCAGGTTGTTTGTAGCTTAGTAGGGAGAATTCCACTCATGCTTGATATGACTCATATCATGACTGCCCGTTTCATCTCTGAGGATGAAACAGTAGTAAGGATTAAAGGTAGTAAGGATTAAAGTAGAGTATTCTTAAACTATTTCAGAAATGGCTATATCAGCTCTACAAGGATTACAATGAGATAACCAGGAAAGTAACAAAGGCTTCTTCATAGTATCCTTTAATATGAGTCACCTCTGAAGATGAGACTGGATTTGAAAATCAGTGCATACAGCAAAAGTAAAGTTAAATTTATCCCTGAAAAATTTATGAAACTGTCCATAACATACAGCATGCACAGTTTTATGTAGAGCACACTATTATGAATAGTACTATATAGTATATCATGAATACATATGCAAAACAATTTTATAGTACGAAAAATTGTCTTTTAAACAAGAGAAAGAAAAGGTGAAAGACGGGCCGGCCCCGTGGCTTAGCAGTTAAGTGCGCGTGCTCCGCTGCTGGCGGCCCGGGTTCGGATCCTGGGCGTGCACTGACGCACCGCTTCTCCGGCCATGCTGAGGCCGCGTCCCACATACAGCAACTAGAAGGATGTGCAGCTATGACATACAACAATCTACTGGGGCTTTGGGGGGAAAAAAATAAATAAATAAAATCTTAAAAAAAAAAAGAAAAGGTGAAAGAGCATGTATAGTTGAATTTGTGTAATTTAATGTGGCTATGATGCCACTCTGCTGTACCCAAAACCGGAACTGTAAAGAGGAACATCAAAATATTATGAAGAATACTCTACTGTCTTAAAATTCGAGAAACTGCAAAGGTGGAGGAGAAAGAAAGGACTTGTTCCTTCTTGTCTTATTTTTGTAAGGGGCTGTTGGCTTGTGGTTCCTGTCAACGGCATCCCAACAACACTTTGTCACTGTGGAGGCAGCAGTTTGTTCCTGTAGCAGCAGTGCCCTTCTTAAGAGGCCTGGGTCCCAGCCCCATGGGGTCTCTCCTCTGAGCTCAGACACCAGCACCAGCTGAGCAGTGCCTCCTCTTCAGACCTGAGTCTAGAGTCCCCAAATTCTTTAATATATCTCCCATCAAGAGATAGAATCTATGTCCATTCTATTTGAATCTGTGACTTTGACCAATAGAGTACAGTGGAAGTGACACCATATAAATTCTGAGATTAGGTTATAAAAGGCCCTGCTGCTTCTGCCTAGTTCTCCTGAGATGCTCCCTCTGGGGGAAGCCCTCTGCCAGGTAAGAAGGCTGACAACACTGAGAGTGATGAGACCATGTGTAGGCACCTCCAGTTTACAGCCCTAGCTGAACTCCTAGATGACAGCCAGTATCAAATGACACCCCATGTAAGTGAGCCATCTTGGATGTCCATCCCAGTTGGAGCCTTCAGATGACTGCAGCCTGAGCTGACATCTGACACCAACCCTATGAAGACTCCATGTGAGGACTGCCTAGCTGAGGCCTTCCAAATTCAAGACCTACAAAATTGTGAGCAAAATAAAATGGTTATTTTCAGCTGGTAAATTTGGGGTTGTTGTGTAACATTGGTAACTGAAATATCCCCCTGCCCTTTTCTGCTTTTTCTTCTGGAACTCCAATTAAACATATGTTAGACTCTCTCACTTTATCTTCCATTTCTCTTAACCTCACTTCCTTGGTTCTTTGTATTTTTGTCTCTGCTGCATTTAAGTAATTTTTTCCTGACCTATCTTCCAGGTCACTAATTCTCTCTTCAACAGAATCTAATTTGTTATTAGTCCTATATTGTACATTGAGTTTTGCAGTTTGGCTACTAGAGTTTTCATTTCTAGAGATTCTATTTGGTTCTTTTTCAAATTTGCTTGAAAGAGTGTCTTTTTCCTTGAAGTTATTTTTAAGTCTGATTTATTTCAAGGATAGGAATTAACATTATTTTTATAATCATTAATAATTATAATGTCTGATATCTCTGCAGGTCTCTTTCTACGATACCATTTCTGTTGGGTTCTTGTTCATGGTGTCTTGTTTCCTTGTGTGCTTGGTTACTTTTGACTGTACGCTGCTTACTCTTCTTAAAAATTACTTTTGAAGGTTCTTTGGAAACTAGGATGAAGAAGTTTTTCTCCAGAAGGGTTTGGTGTTTGCTTTTACCAGGCACTTGTGGGGATACTACAGGTCTAGGACAAACTTCACCCCAGTTCATGGAATGAAGTTCCCCAGATCATTTAGGTGGATGGGCTGCAAATCTGTGTGAGGGATGCCTGATGGCCAAGACTTCTGTGAAACATATTCCTCTCCTCCACTTTCCTTCTTTTTCTTGCTCTGCTTAGTGCCAAAACAACTCACTTTGCAGTCAATTGGGGGTGGAGTATAGAGTGCATTTGTTTACTTCTGATTCATCCAGCTTAATGTGTGGAAGCCTTCCATTAGACTCCTTTCCTTGGGCTGGCTCCTTTCCATTGGTGAGCCCTGGGCCTTGACTTCTGTCCCCTTTGTTCCATGAGGCCATGAAATCAGAGCCTAAATGTGATGGATTGACAAAAATTTTTCTAGCCCAAAGTAGCTGTGGTGTTCCTTTTTAGGAACCTGCTTTCTCTTACACTTTGACAGGTTATTTTCTTTTAATCTTGCCAGTCTTTCATGCTTTTAATATTTTATCCAGCACTTTTAGTTGTTTTGAACAGGTCATTTGTCTGAATAACCTAGGCTGACATTACTGCAAAAGGAAGTCCTGTTCAATTTAATCATTTCAACAATCTATGGAGTAAATGGTATTATCTTTATTTAACATATTAGGAAATTGAGGTTTAGAGCCAAGTAAATAACTTGGCTCAAGACTGGTACACAGTTATGAAGTGATGGAGCAAAGATCTGAACTCAGATATTTTTACTCTACTGTGTCAACTCTTTGTTTAAAACAAACATTTGTACATTACTTAAGTTTTAAAGGGCACATGTATTATATTATTAAATTCTCAAATCATCACTCTGAAGTATTATTATTCACAAGCTCCATTCAATACCCATAGAAACAAAATTTCCATATAACTGAAGCTTAAACATCCAAGCTTCTTTTATTTTAGTTATTTAGGATAAAATATGTCTAAAATATATTTTATTCTTCCCTGCCTCCTTTATTTTTTTGCCCCTTTTTATCCCCAAAGCCCCAGTAGATAGTTGTATGTTATAGTTGCACATCCTGCCAGTTGCTGTTTGTGGGACCCCGCCTCAGCATGGCCCGACAAACGGTGAGTCGGTGCGCGCCCAGGATCCGAACCCAGGCCGCCAGTAGCAGAGTGTGCGCACTTAACCGCTAACCCACGGGGCCGGCCCTTCCCTGCCTCCTTTAAAAAATCATTGTAAAACATTTTAACATTAATAGAAAACAAAGAAAAAAGTTAACTCAAAACTCTGCCACTAAATCTAGTCAAAATGCTTCAGTTTTTCTGTATTTGCTTTAACCTTTGTCCACATGCAAGTTAATTTTTAACAGGTTTAATAATTACAGATATGATTTTAGTGTTTCACTTAAAAATCAAAATATCTTTCTGTGTTGCTATAAATTTTTCATATTTATAATTTTAAATAGCTGACATACTATAACTTACTTTATATAATATATACTTATATATATATAATATATAATAAAGGACATACTATAATTACTTTATGATTGATTCTGCCCTATTGAGTAGTTTGTTTTATTTTTTTCTATTATTTTTGTTGTTTTGCTAAATTAACCTTGTGATAAACATTTTTGTGTTTACACACACATTTTCATTTTTATGGGTTATTTAAGATAAATTCTGAGGAATATAATAACTGGGATAAAAAATATAAACATTTTCTTTTCATGAATACATGTAGTGTCAAATCTCTTTCCAAGTGGGTTGTATCAATTTACACTGACAAGTGATGTGTGATCATACCAGTTCACTGCGACTAAAGAATACAGACGGGAATTTCAAAATACTGTAGCTCACTTAATGGATATAAAAATATCCCATTGTTTTACTTTTAAATTATTTTTTGAATAGGTAATACAATCATTTGGTAAAAAATTCAAGTATAAAAGAGTATACAGAAAAAAAAGAGGTTTCTCTCCTACCCCTGACCCTCAGCCCAGAGATAACTGCTGTTACTTACCAGTTTACATATTCTTATGAAGACAGTTCATGCATTTATAAGCATATATGTATATTTAGCCCCCTCTTTTTCACAAAAATGAATATCTCATTGTTTTAGAAGGCATGTTTTGACTACCATTGAGATGATCATTTTTCTGTTTGCTCATTTACTACAAATCTCAAAAAAAACATTATCTGGAGCCTGGACTTTCCACGTCTTTTTTTTTTTTTTTTAATTTAAAAAATAGTTTCAAACTTACAGGAAAGTTGCAAGATTGGTATAAAGAATTCCTGTATCCACTTCTCCCAGATCCCCAACTGTTATCATTTAACCACATTTGTTTTATACACACAAACACACACAAACACAAATACACATATGTACAACGTATATACATACTCTTATAGAGTCTTTGTATAACATAATGCCCATCACACCTAAATATTCCAGTGTATATCACCACAAACAACGACACTCTCCTAAATTACCATAATACAACACTTTCCATCAGGAAATTAACATTAATTCAATACTACCATTCAAGTCAAGACTTCATTCAAATTTTGCTGACTGTCCCAACAATTTCTCTTTTTTCCCTTCTGATCCAGGTTCCTATCCAGAAACATGCATTGCATTTAGTTTTCATGCCATGTCTTAACAGTGTTTAAAACTGTTTAGAACAGTTCTTTAGTCTTTCCTTCTCTCATGTACTTGATGGTCTTAAAGAGTACAGGACTTTCATTCTGTAGGACTTTCAACATGGGTCCATCACTGTTTCCATATGGCCAGACCTAGGCCATGCATTTTTGGCAGGAACACCACAAAAATGATGTTGAGCTCATCTCAGTGCATTACATCAGGAGACATACTATACTGACCTGCTCCAATATGGGTAATGTTAACCTCAGATGCATGGTCAAGTTGATTGCTGCCAGTTTTCTTCACTGTCAAGTCACCATTTTCCCCTTTGGATTACTATTTCTTGGGGAAACATTCTGATTTATGCAAATATGTGTTCCTCATCAAACTTCCACCTATCAGCCAGAGCATCCAAAGATAACTAATGCCTATCAACTATCCCTAAGATGGTTGCCAAATGATGATTATCTGTTTCCGTTGTTCCTTCTATATTTATTAGTTGGCATTCTTGTGTAAGGAAGAGCTTTCCGGTTTCATTTATTTATTCATTTATTTATTTATATTAGTATGCACTCACAGATTCCTATTTTATTCAATAGGTTGTAATTTAAAACTCTTGCAATTTAATTTTGATACTCAAATTATCTTAGTTTTGGCCAGCGGTTGCTTTTGAGCCCTTCAAATAGGGGACATAGCTAGGCAATATAGGTATATGTAAACATATGTATACATATATATTTATAATTTATACAACACACATACATCTAACTTTTTCTATATCTGAATGTGTGTACATATGTATGTGTGTATGTGTCACACACTCATGAATTCACACCAATACTTTTAATTCCAATCTAACCACCTCAGAGTCCCTTTTAGCATTTTCTCTTTCCATGTTTGCAAATCCCTTCTGAGACAGTGGAGAAATCAGGCTTTTGTTATCCTCAATATATTTACTTTTTGTTTAATCAATTATTTGTTCAATGTAACCCATTTCCCAACTCCAGCCGCCTCCTCCATCCACCTTTTCCACACCTCTCCCCCTCATCACCCTGCTTCCTTGCCCTGCACAGCAGCCCCTTCCTCATCACCACCAGATTTTCTTGGAAGCTCAGCATGCTGCTACCACTGACTCCTCCTTTTCCTAATTCCCTAGTCCTTGCACATTAAATGCTGCCAGCTCTGCACAGCACTTCTTCCCCCTCACTGCCCTGCTTCCTTGAAGGATTTCCACACCAGGAGGAGAGAAGAACAAGAAAGCGAAAGGAAGATGGAAAGTGAAAGGTGGAAAACGGAAGGGGAAAATGGGAAGCCTTAGCCTTTTAAAATAGAATATAATGAGTAAAATTTCCCCTCTTTTTGAGTAGTTATTATAGAAATTCATTACCATACTGTATTACACTGCAGAAATGTTCTTGAGACTTCTTGGTAGTGTTAAGGTGCTAAGTTTTTAATTCTTGGGTTTGCTTTACAGTTATTCTTCTTTCTCCTTTTCTATCATTGGTCAATTTCCACAAACATTTCCACCCATATCCCTTTCCTTTTAAATCAGATATTTCTAATATGCTATCGGTTGAGAATCCAAATAATCAATGCAGTAAGAAGCTGCAAAAAGTAAAATAAATATACTTAGAGCTAGAGTTTAAAGAGCTCTTCTATGATTAAGAACCTTGAGCTCTTCGCAGCATGAATTCAATGCTTCTTACTTAGCTGCCCAGAAGTTCTTTTTATATAATTCTCAGTTAGTTAAATTTTAGATAATTCAAATTGCCTAAATAAGTTGATCTCCAGATAGGTGAGATGCAAATGTTATTTTGGGGAGGAATTCTAAAAATTTCACTTGAGTAAATTTTCACATTGGTTTAAAGGAAAATATTCTTCTCCTTTCTACAAATATTTCTTCTCTCTCAATTCTTGAGAAGAATTTGAGATTAAACATAGCCTAATCCCCTGGTAAAGAGATCAATATGTACACTTCACGCATTAAATCATTTAACAACATATACTAAGCACTTACTATGTGACAGGCATTGTTCTAAGCATTTGGGAGAGTAGCAGTGAATAAGATAACGCCCCTGCTCTCAAGGAACTTATGGTCTAGTTGGGGGAGGTAAACAAGTAAATAGATATATAACTGGTTATAAATGGTTTGAAGAAAAATAAGGCCTGGTAAGGGGAGAGAGAGATATGGAGGTATTATTTGAATAGGGTGATCAGAGCGAATTCTGATTCCATTTTTGCTGTAAATGGCTGACCTCCAACAGCCTCTTTATTAGAGGAGCAGGGGAAGAGAAGTGGCAAGCAATTTATTTCAGGAAAGAAGACAAATTAAGCTGGGACTTCAGCTACTCAAGCTTTCCCAGTGCCCTCCTCAGGGGATCTGGCTGCTCCCCCACCCACTCAATTTGTTCTCTATAAACAAAGACACGCTGATCAACAAGAAATGGAAATGTTTATATCCTACTTGCACTAAAAAAGGAGATGAATAATCTACTTAAAATGTAGATCATGTGTCAGAGGTCAGTTAGTACAACTGTCTCACTTTAAGGATGAGAAAACCGAGCTTCAAAGAGGGGAAAGGACTTGCTTAAGGTCACCCAGTGGCAGAGGCAAAGGTGGAACGCAAGTTCCTAATCCTGTCTCTGACATTTTATATTTACACCATCCTATTTGAAGAGTAACGAAAACAACACTCCAATACTAGGCTAAAAGTCTTCTATTTCCTACCTGAAAAGGATGTGAAGATAAGAACCAAGGCCAGTTAAAATATGCCACCATGCATGAAATTGTGTGGTAACACCTATAATAGGCGGCACCTTCTTTCGAAAGTTCCTGTATGGAGAGGGGAAAAAATCACCATGTTAATTTTTTAAGACTGTCAACTAATGCTGACAGTCTTAGAGCATTTTGAAATGTCATTCTCAAATATGGCAATTATTTAGTTTCCTTAAGTCTGCTGTAGTCTGCTGTATTGTTTTCCAAAGTATATTTTGAGGAATAGTATACCTAGCAGAAGTTCCATGAAATGACTCTCTGGTCAAAATAAATGTGGGAAACAGTACATAGTTTATTGCCCTCTTGGAGATTTGTAATGCATATTAACAGATTAAAGGCTCTGAAAAGTCCTACCATGATTAAAAGAGTTTATTTTCATTTTTTTCAGGTAACCTACTAATCCACGAACTCTTTTTTCAGGTAATATCTTATTAATACCTTATGGAACAAGTGTTTCCTGGAACACACTTTGGGGAACACTGGTCTACTTAGCTATTCACTGAAGAAACTAGATACATGCTTATCCTATGCCCTACATACAACCATCATCTTCGAAGAGCACCATACAGTCTAATAGACTGTATCTAATAATAGATACAAGTCCTTTTGTATCTACTATTTCACTTCATACTGAGTCTTTGAGGTGACTATTATTACCTTTGCTTTACAAATTAGGAAGCTAAAATTCAGAAAGATTAATTGATGTGGCCCAAGTCAATCAGCTAGTGGCACAACTGAGTCTCAAATTCTAGATCTTTTGATTAAGTGTGTACCATATTCTCATTTATTAGAGGGAAAAAAATCAATGTGAAACATCAAATTATTTTTCTAGATATTCCCATGAATTTTTGATACAATCGCCATCTCTAAGAACCTACTTTGTTTCCTAGTGGCTCTCACCCAGAGGGTGATGACTTACCTCAGCAGTGTAAAAGATCCAATGGGGGTTCTGATGGGTATTACTGATTCAGAACCTCTCACTTAGATCTTAATTTTCTAAGCAAGGTGTATTATTTGTTTGTTTGTGTGCATTTAAAGTCTACATTTACTTATTTAACTTTTTATTATGGAGAATTTCAAACGTGCAAAAATAGGCAAAATAATAATGTACCTATTACCCAGCTTCAACAATTATAACTTATGGCCAATCTTGTATGATCTAAACTCTCATCCACTTCTCCCCTCCTCATATTATTTTGAAGTAAATCCCAGATATCATATCATTTTATCTCTAAATATTTCAGTATATATCTCTAAAAGATTAAAACCTCTTTAAAACATAACCATAATACCATTTTCACACCTAAAATATTAACAATAATCCCTTAATATCGTCAAATATTCAATTACTAATCAAAGTTACAATTACCTCATAAGCTTTTTTGTTTTTTTACAGTTGGTTTGTTTGAATCAAGATCCAATGAAGGTCAACACATTGCATTTGGTTGATATATCTCTTAAGTCTCTTTTAACCTATATGTACCCCTCCACCCCACCCCCAGCAATTTACTTGGTGAAGAGACCAGGTCATTCATCCCGTAGATTTCCCACAGGCTGAATTTTGCTGTTTGCCTCTCTGAGGTGCTGTTCAATATTTTCCTCTGTCCTCTATGCTTATGCAGAACTGTTAGGTCACAGAACTTTGAGTCGGAAGGACCCACTAGTTTAACCTATTTAATATGTTTATTTTATGGAAATTGAGGCCCAGAAAGATAGTGTCTGAGTGACAGACTAGGGTCCAAGAGACCAAAGATTCAAATTCCAGTCAATACATAATTGCTGACAAGATGGTTAAAGGAGCGCTTATCTTTCTTAGAAAATAACATTAAGCATATTAAAGTACAAAATTATATACATGTATTTCATATGCTTATTAATCATTCTTATTTCTTCAATAAGGTGGATGAGGCAGATTTCACACATCTAGTCAACATTTGATTAACTGTATGATTCTGTGATGCACACACAAAAAAATCCCTACAGATGTTATGAAATATTTTTAGGTCCAAATTTTAGGAAATTTAAACAAGTATTCCCAGTATTTAACTTTATTGTGCTATACATATCTTTTTAATTTCTACAATGGCAAAAATTCACTTCAGGACACTAATAATTCTATATGCCTATCGAATTCTCTGCTTAATAGATTGCTTCCAAAAATAGCTCTCAAAGACTGAAAATATATCTTACCTCAGTGATTCACAAAAGATGTTATCTATGTTCCATAATAAAAATCCCAATAAAAATAGACCCAAGGACGTATAACCCAGTCCTCTAAGCCATGGATAAACCCTGTGGGTAAAAAAAGAAAAGCAAAATGAAATTTTGTCAACTCATGTCATAATCAGAGCTTGAAGTCATCACTTTCATGAGAAGGAAAGGTTTTCATTGGTATTAAAAGCAAACCTATCCATTAAATTCTCTAAAACATTTGCCTATTACATTAGCCATTAAAAGAGAGAGAGAGAACGTTACTGAGAGAGAATGTGCCACTAAGACTTTGCTAAGCATATCAAGAAGGTAATCTGAAAGCCCCAATAACTTTATCAGCCCCATGGAAGAGGCAGTGGGCAGTGGAATAGAATTAACATTGACTGAGTCACCTGATCTGTGTCAGGCACTATTGTAAATTAGATACACACACAATATACATAAATAAGCACACACCTTATGAATAAAATCTTCAAATAAACTCTATGAGGCAGGTATTATTCTTCTCATTTCACTGATGAGGAAACTGAAGCTTGGTGAGTTACTCAAAATATCAACAGTAGCTTATATATTTTTTATAGCTTCAATGAGGTATCATTGACTTACATTAAACTGCATATATTTAAAGTGTACACTTGATGAGTACATCTGTGTACTCATCTGTGTACACCACAATCAAGATAATAAACATATCTATATCACCTCCAAAAGCTTAGTTTGTATTTTTTTTAGAATTTTATATAAATGGAATAATACAGTATACCCTCTTTATTGTATGGCTTCTTTCACTTTGCATAATTATTTTGAAACTCATCCATGTTGTTATGTGCTTCATTTGCTTTTATTGCTGAGTAGTACTCCACTGTATGGATATACCATAATTTGTTTATCTGTCCAAGTAGTGTTGGTGGACATTTGTGTTGTTTCCAGATTTTTCTATAACAAATAAAGCAGCTATGAAAATTCATAAATAAGTCTTTGTATGGATATACACTTGCATTTCTTTGGGGTAAAAAGCTAGGAGAGGAATGGCTGGTTTGTATGCCAGGTGAATGTTAAACTTTTTAAGACATTGCTAAACTGTTTTCCTAAGACATTGTATCATTTTACATTCCCACCAGTAGTGTACAAGCATTTCTTGTTCTACATCCTCGCCAACACTTGCTATGACATCAGTCTTTTTCATTTCAGTTGTTCTAGTAGGTATGTAGTGGTATCTCATTGTGGTTTTAATTTGCATTTCCTTAGCAACTAATGTTATTAAGTATCTTTTCACATGCTTATTTGCCATCCAATAAAGTGTTTGTTGAATCTTTGCCCATTTGAAAAAAATTGTCACTTGACTTCTTATTGAGTTGTAGGAGTTCTTTATGTATTCTAAATGTAAGTCCTTTGTTAAACATATATTCTGAAAATATTTTCTCCAAGTCTGTGACTTGCCTTTCATTTTCTTAACAGTGTCTTTTGAAGAACAAAAGTTTGTTATTTTGATGAAGTTTAACTTAGCAATTTTTTCATTACAGTTTGTACTTTTTGTGTCCTATTTAACAATTCGTTGGCTAAACAAAGGTTGCAAAGACTTCTCCTATATTTTCTTCTAGAAGTTTTATAATTTTAGCTTTTACATTTAGGGATATGATTCACTTCTAGTAAATTTTTGTAATGGTGTGAGTTTAAGTTCATTTTCTAAATAAGAATATCCAGCTGTTTCAGCACAATTTGTGGGAAAGATTATCCGTTCCTCACAGAACTACCTTAGAATGTTTATTTAAAATCAGGCTAGTATGGATATGTGGGTCTATTTTTGGATGTTCTATTGATCTATATTTCATTCTTACCACCAATACCACATTGTCTTGATTAGTGTAGCACAGAGTAAATCAAGTAGCATAAGTTCTCTAACTTTGTTGTTCTTTTTCAAAACTGTTTTGGTTATCCTATATCCTTTGCATTACCTTGTAAATTTCAGAATCAGTTTCTCACTTTTACCAAAAAGCCTGCAGAGATTTTGATTGTGATTGCATTGAACCTACAGATCAATTTGGGGACAACTGACATCTTAATAATATTGAGTTGTCTAACCAATGAAAATGGTACATCTCTCCATTTATTTAGGTCTTCTTTAATTTCCCTCAGCAAAAAAACTGTTCATTGTAGTTTCCAATATACAGGTCTTGCACATATTTGCTAAATTTAATCCCTAAACATTTGATGTTTTTTGATGCTACTGTAAATTGTATTTTTGAAAATTTCACTTCCCAATTGTTTACTGTTAGTACATAGACACATGATTGTTGAATATCGACTTGAATCTCGTGACCTTGATGAATTCCACTTAATTGCTTCTAGTAGTTTTTTGGTACACATCCTGTGATATTTTCTGTACATGATCAGGTCATTTGCAAATACTATGTTGGATAGGACTTCTACCAGTATAATGTTGAACAGAGATGGTAATAATATATATCCTTGTTTTATTCTTGATGTTGAATTTTTTTTAACATTTCCTGATTAAATGTGTTAGATGCTGTAGAGTTTACAGGTTAAGAAAGTTCCCTTCTATTACTAGTTTGTAAAGGGTTTTATTTTGGTGTTTTTAGATCATAAATAGCTGTTGCATTTTACAGAATGCTTTCTCTAAATTACTGCTATCATCATGTAGTTTTTCTCCCTTATTTTTTTAACATGGAGAATGACAAGAATAGATTTTCTCAAATATTTTGTTATTTTAACTATGAGTATTTGTATATAAATGAATGAAAAAGGCGATTAATTTAAAAATCATCAGGAAAGCACAAACCTGGCTGTGCATGGAAAGAGAATTATTGCCACTGATGAAGGTTCTCAGAGAAGACGAGCTTAAGAGAGTCATAGTCTGTCTTCAGCTTTTCAGAGTTTATGATAGCCCCATTTGGGGGAGGCAAGAATGAGTCCCAGGAAACATAGGGCTCAACCCAGTGAAGGCACCTGACAGGGCTGCAGTGTGGGCCAGGTGCTGAGATGTGACAGGAATATGATCAGTGGGAGTGGGGTACTCTCTATTTTCTGCTTCTAAGCTTACTTACCAGGGCCAATCTTCAGCTCTCAGCAGTAGTTCAAACCAAAATTCTTCTGTGGGGTGAAATGAATGTCTTTGTTATCCAGGTAGCAGGGTGCGCAGGAGAGAGCAAGAACTTCATCAGCACATGGTCCATGCAAACTAAGTACAGGTAAGACTCTGGGGACAGACTACCCACATATTATCAGGTACAAGAGTGTGTAATACAGATGGCCCTCAACATATCTGTTTCTGGAGTCACAATGCTTCATTCTGGACTGGCTGCCTATCTAGAATAGAGCTATCATCTGAGAACTCCCTTCCCTTCACCTTCACTGTCACTTTGGGAATTGCCTTTACCTCTCTCTGTGTTGGAATTCCTGTGTTTTATATCACACGTCTTCCTCCTCTTTGGTTTACTCTCTCATTTTCAAGCACATCATCCAATATGTTACTGAGCAATAGTTTATTGGACATAAGTTTCTTTGAGAACTTGAATGTATGCAAATGTATTTTGTTCCCATATTTTATTGATAGTTTGGCTGGCTATAGATTCTAAGTTAGAATTCTATAATTCTAGCTTACAGTTTTGCTTCGTTTAGTCCAAAGCCATTCTGAGTCCTGATCCTTGGTATATATATCTGCCTTCTAACTCTATAAACTTGTGGAATCTCGTCTAGAATTCTGAAACTGGCCTGGTTCTATTTCCACCCATTGTGTCAGTGGGTTATTTCAATCTAATAACTCATATCTTTCAATTATAGGATATTACAGAATTATTTTGGTGATGATTTCCTCCCTTCCATTTTCTTTGCACACCTCCCCCTGCTTTTTTATGTTGGTCCTTCTATTCTGGCCCAGTAATATTCCTATCAAGTCTCTTCTATTCTCCGTTTCTTTCTCATCATCCTGATGGCCCCCAAGGTGTGTGTGCATGCGCATGTGAGTGCATGTGTGTGTGCATGGGTGTGTGTGTGTGTGTCTGTCTTTGCTTCTGCCCTTTCCACTGTGAAGCCTATCGACTTGAGGAAACATCTTGCTTTTTTTCCACAGCAGTGGCGGTGCGTGAGCGGCCCAAGGGTCCTGAGGCCCCATGCTGTCCTGTTTACTCTGGACAATACCATGACTTTAGTGCCTCTCCTGTGGTGGATGCTTGCTGGTGGACGGAGGGGTGATGGACCATAATGCAATCATAATGTGTGTTGAGGAGAAGGGTTTCCAGTGGCTTCTTGAACTGTATCTTTCAAAACCATCACCTCAATTTTTCATTTTATCATATTTTTAATATATTTCTTTATTAGACTCTCTGAATGTTCCTTTTTTACAGCATCCTACTCTTTGAATCATAGGTACAGTATATTTCTAGGAATATTAGTGAATTGATGTTGTTTTGTTGTTTCTGAAATTTTCTTTTCACGTATAAGTTTTTCTTCTAACTTCATTTTTTTCCTTTTTATTTATTTTGGCCTCTATCTTTCATATTGGATGTATTCATCCTATGTCTGGCACTATCTCCTCATTCTCAAGAATGGGAAACTAAAACGGTGACCACAAGCTCTAAGCATATGGTTGAGGCCTTTACACTAGTAACCTTCCTTGTACATTTATTTTGCTGGGCCAATTGTTAGGGAACCCCCAATATCAGTAACTTTGGGTTTTTTAGGCTACTCATATTCCCTAAAGGAAGGCTACTCATATTCCCTAAAAGAAGATTCTTCCAATTCTTTTCCTAGAGATCTTTGCATTCAGTATTCAGAATGTATAAAGTCATCCAATTTCCCGGATTTCAGTATGGTATTCACATACTCAGTTGTGCCTGGCAAAATCCAATCTAGAGACATTGTTTACCCTTTTGAGAGAATGAACCTCCAGACTTCTACAGTTGCTCAGTGGTATGGAGTGGGTGAAGGGATCTAAGCATTTAACAGCTTCTCAAAGCTTCTAACTGATCCTTTTTATTTCAGACCCCTCCTCCATCTCCTTTTCCAAACTGCCTGTTGCTGCTAATGCCTGATACTTGAGAAAATTCTCTGATTTAAGTTGG